TTTTTTTTTTAAATTTTATTTACATATAATGCAGAAAGAATGCATCTATAAGAAAATTTTGAAAACAATGTAAAAATTTTTTATATTACTTCTTCCTAAGAATTACCATTTCTTATAAACATATTTTTAACTGCATGCGCGTTCATTTCTCTTGTGCCTCGCATGCGATCAAAATGGAGAATATACATACATATGTAAGTACTATGTAGTCAAGTACAGTAAGTAACGTTACAGACCGTATATTTCGGTTTATAGTAGATTTCTCATAAACGTGTTTATCCAAAAGTTAATATTTTTATAGTTTCTTTGTATCTAGATCTTTATTAAAATACTTTAGTTTAATTTTTAACGTTGCGGGATCCGTCAAGTTTTCCGTACGTGTGACGTTATATGTATATAACTGATTTCCAAAAAATATAACGTTAAAAGCCACTTAAAACCACATTTATCTTTAAAATAACAAAAGATAGGAAACAAGTCTGTATACAAAATGTAGCTTTTGAGGTTTATAATCAGGATAAATGAAAGACTTTCGATTTTTACACAGCTTTCATATAGTCTAACAGAAATATACGTGCGACTGTAACGTTAAAGACAAAAATCTTGACCGTTTGTATGTTTGTATGGATTATAAAATTTCTGACATTACGAATCGTCAAAGAATATAGAATATAATGAAGATGCACATCTCTTTCCGTTCCAGTACGATTACATTCGTTTTTGGTGTGGTGAAATAAACTAGCCGCGTAGAGGTGGAGGAACGAACCAGCAACATCTTTATGTTGGATGTTCTTTGCATCTCATGGACCAAGTAAATGATTATAGAAAGAAAAGAAGATACCCAATGGGGAAATTTCCGTAGCCTTGAGAAGCCCTTTAACGGTGCACAGATTGCATAGTAAAAATCGGTTTTGCCATGGGACAGCTTTGCAAACTGTGCAAGGACTTTGCAAGACTTCGAGAATAGCTCCAATGTATGTATGTATGTACATGAATAGATACATACATAGTTTGTATCTATGTGGAAGTGATTTATAGAGCTAAAAGCTAAAACGACATAAGGATGATTGATTCGGTTTTTCCAAACCAGTTTCATCAACCGGTTTTTTGAATATTTTTGAGCGTTTTTTTTTTTAGTTTTGATTTTTCGAATACCGAGTAAACCGGGATTTGCAATTGTATAATCTAGGTTTTCACCTAGTTAATTTGTATACCAGAATCTAGACAATCTAACTATTTATTTTATTGAAAATGGAACTAGCAAATTTTTATTAATTTTATATCAATACTGGAAAATTTTTCACGGCAGAAAATTGCTTAAAATAAGTTAATAGTGAATCTATATTGAAAAAAAAAACTTTCTATGTATGAACGAAATGGGTCCATAAATACGGGTTCCCAAATATCTCGACTCCTGCGCCACCTAGCGGATTATTTCAGATTGCATAGATTGCATAGTCATCGGGTTCTGAGCTACATATGTGTTAAGTCTCAAGTCTCTAGCTCATCGGGATGTTGGTGAAATATTGATTGCAGGACATACTACATATGTACATACAATAAAAGTGAAGTTAAATAAAAGCTTGTAAAATTTAGGGAAAGCCTTTCACTGATTTTTTTGTTTTTTTTTTCTAGCAGCTCACTACACTTTGTAACATACAAAAAATTTCTTTATGGAACAAATCTGGTGGATTGTGCATGGTCTTTTTTTGAAGAACACTATTTTTTACCAATTTTTATAGCGTTAAGGAGTAATTTTGGGTCAATGCCAGTATTTTTCCGTGAAATGGAATAACATTAGCTTTCAAAACCATTTTGTTTCATATCAAAGTATTGCTGCTGTCGATAGCGCTACGATTAATTTGCGTGGAGTTTTCATAAAGCACACTGCGTGGCGCAGGTGTCGAGATATTTGAAAAATTCGTATTTATAGTCCGATTTGTTTCATATTTAGAACATATACGGATTCAGGGTGTAAAAACATTTCATAGAGTGAAGGTTAAATTAATATACAAATTTACATACGTACATACATACCTATTTACATGCATATAAATATGTACATACAGTTGTCCACAAAATAATAGGAGTGGGATATTTTAACCGGTTTTGGCTATTTGTCTTTAGTTTATTTAATGTTTCGTATTTTTTTGTAAAAGCCTAGCTGGTAATACAACAAACACCATATAAATTTACATTTTCAAGTTTGTACAAAAATTATAAAAATTCTGCAAATTTTCACCAAAATTGCAACTATTTAACCAGAATCTTTAGAAAAAAGGTTGGTATGCAGTTTTGTAGCCCATTCAATTCTAGTCTGAAGAAGTGCAAGTTTCAAGCTGCTAAAAAATTCCGTTGATTTTTGAGAATTTTTTCGGTTGAAGGTGTTTCACGTTTTTTCCATACAAAGTATGTTCGACAGCAAAAAAAATTGCCAAAAATCAACGGATTTTTTTAGCAGCTTGAAACTTGCACTTCTTCAGACTAGAATTGAATGGGCTATAAAACTGCATACCAGAATTTTCTCTGAAGATTCTGATTAAAAAGTTTGATATTTTGGTGAAAATTTACAGAATTTTAATAATTTTTGTACAAACTTGAAAATGTAAATTTATATGGTGTTTGTTGTATTACCAGCTAGGCTTTTACAAAAAAATACGAAACATTAAATAAACAAAAGACAAATAGCAAAAACTGACCAAAATATCGCACTCCTATTATTTTGTGGACCACTGTATATTTACAACTCCTTTAATATAATGCATATATATATAATGGCATACCAAGTGATAGTGAAAGTTCTTAAAACTATTTTTCGTTTTTAATTTGTTTTTGCATACAAAACTAATGCAAGTCATACTTAATACATATACACATTTGGGGGATTCACAACGGTGTCGAAAGTGTCGTAAATTTTGAAAGCTCCAATAAAAGTTTTAGAGAACTTTAAACGACAGCCAACTATTTTTTAACACTGCAAAAATTCATAATATGAATTTTATGGTACTTTGCCAGCCCCTTTAATATATTTTTAAGGCGTTTAAAGTTTACGACATATAACAATACGACACTTACGACACCCCAATTATATGTAGAAAAGTCTTAAGTTTTTTTTTTTTTTTCAATAAACAAAATTTGACCAAACTGAAACACTGGTTTCCTCCAACTAAGCCATGGCTCTCTCAATCTCTCTCTCTCTCTCTCTCTCTTTGTGATTTCCCAGCCAAAAATTTCTGCATCATTTGCTGTGCTTCAAAAGCTTCAGCAACAAAATCAGTTATAGCTCAGCGCTCGAATTTAACAGTTTAGTGTGGCAGAGTTTGTCCGCATAGACATGATATTTACCCGTTCCACAATCGCCCAAGCAATCACTTAGTTGATGAGTCTGCTAAGCAATCCCAGCGTCGCAGTAATGTAGTAAAACCAAGTAAAGTTTTGTAACTTCAAAACTGACTGAAACAAATCTGCCTTGACATGAATAAACGCATGGGCTATTTGTTGATAATTTAGTGCAAAAATTAAAAAAAAAAGTTAGTTAAAACAACATGACATGAATAAGAGCTACTGAGTGGAAAGCACCGGGAAATGTTTAATAAATATATGTACACAAAAACATAGTACTGTGTTAAACGACTGCATATACATATGTACATATATGAAAAAACTAAAGAGGCAAAAACAAAGCTTTAATCGAATCATTTGAATCGTTCAAAGGTTAACTTTTTGTGATCGACAGCGTAATGGCGATAATAGAGGCAGCCTATACAAACAGTGTACGGATTGATACCGTGTTATTGTGTGTGAATCAAATGTGGTGATAATAATTTAAAAATTGCCAACACTGTTTTCTTTGTAAAAATATGCATTATAGCTACTTGCTGCGTTGAAAAAATTGTTGACGTTTTCTTATGTCACCACCTGCATATGTATGTATGTATGTGTACAAATTGCACTTGCCGGTTTTTGACACACGCATCTGCATACATACATACTTTAATACGTGCATATGTAATATTCGCAGAACACAGCACATCGTCACCTGAAATGCAAAAAGACGTAACAGCATCGCAAATGGAATGGAAAAAGTCGTGACTAATATTTTAATTTTTTTACATAAAATGATGTGGGGAGTTGTAATTCGATGAAATCTATCATATATGTATGTAAATTAAAAAGTGAATTTAGAATTTTTTTTATTAGTTATGACTTTTTGCATTTCAGCGATGATGTTTGTTACGTCTTTTTTTTTGCATTTCAGGTGACGATAACAATGCTTTTATTAAAACCAGTGGTTCATGATTATACATAAATATCCATATGTGTATGCATACATATACATACATACATATATAAATATACATCTGTGAACCTTGTGCTTAGGTTTGTAAATAGCTGACGTTGTAAAATATCGAAAAATAAATTTAGAACCGGCTAAAGTGCAGAGGAAGTTAATGCAATCGCGCAACAAAAATGCATTCACAAATGAAAAATTCTCAAAAAATCATAACAAAAGCAATTATGATTTCAAACGTTTTCTCTCACTCTTAAAACCAAACGATTGAGAGTGAGAAATCGTCAATTACGACTAAATTAAATATTGTGATGAGAGTATAGGGTTGGCATCAGGAGAGATCACATTCCGGTGGTAAATTAAAGCTAATGAGAGTCGCCATTTGCTAGCGCGGGTTGGAACAGAATGGTCATTCGTTAAATTCGGCATGTCGACCTTTTCAGCCCATTGCGAGTGTGGTAATCAAGCGACAACGGAAACAACAGCATATTAAATGTTTTATGACTTTGAAAACATAAATAACACAATAAACAGTACATGGATCTAAATTTGTAATAGTCGTCGAAACGTATCGGTGCATTATTAAAAATTTATAACTGAAAATAAAAAGACTAATAATATACTACTCGTATATATGTACATACATACGTACGGAAAACATTAAATACGTACGCAAAGTGATTAAATAGAACAGAACAGAATAATTAACACGAAAGTATTCAATGGAATTAATTATTTATTAACAAAAATAAATTAAAATAAAATCAATGTGTGCTACATGAACCCAAATTTACATCTTTTAAGTGTTCGAAAGTACTCATTCGTAAATTGCAAATACATTTTGTTACTTTCCCAACAAAATGCTCATTTATTTTAAGTTCGGATTGCTCTTAATATTCATACTCAGTTTGAGGTAAAATAACTGTTTTTATTAATATTTTAATATTTTTATTGATGAGCATTGAACATTTAAAAAATCTACTATAACCATATGCGCCAATAAAATTTGCAGCACAATTCTTTATTTTACATTTTATTGCTGCTATATTACTTTGTCAGCTATCTTCAATCAATCCAATTGACAACTCGCTCTATACTATATCATAATAATCGATAATAGTATTATCGCTTTTAAAAAAGCGTAAAGGTTTCAAAGTGCGAAGTTCATATAAAATGCGATTCAGTACCGCCGAATAGCTATGAAATTATATGTATGTGTGGCAAAAATGCAAGTACGTAGTATATATCACACGGGTTTTAAAATTGTATATAAAAGTAATCACTTGGTATGCATTTATCCAACTCATTACAGGAAATTAACAGAAAAATTTTAAATGCTGTTGTCATACGAATAAAATGAAATGGACTTTAGACGAATAGCGTATAGCATATGTATATACATACATATGTATAATATTTTTTCTGTGCATTGGGGTTCAATTAATCATAAATAAGTATGTACACAGTTAGGTAATTGTTGAAATTAGCTGTTTATGATTTTTGGAGGACTTATCAACAAAGCGGTAAACCTTTGAATTGGTTGCAAAAGACGACAAAATTTATAGCTGCTACCTTTTTGAAGAACAATTTAAAATACTTCAAATTTATACACTAATCAATTGAAAGCAAAACAATAAGAAAATAAGAATGTAGAATCGACACTGAAATGGAAACGTCGTGACTAATAACTTTTTTTTACTTTTTTTTTTGTACATATAAAATGATGTGATGAGTTGTAATTCTACAAAATGCATCATATCAATCAAAAATTAAATTTAGAGTTTTTATTAGTTACAACTTTTTGCATTTCAGTGACGATGTAAAAGAGGCGGCGAATTGAAACAAATGAGGGTTGGCAATTTTAGATACCCTCTAAATGAACAAACAAGAGCGACATAATGATAATAACGTATTTACATACATACATATATCCATAGTAAAAGGCTGCCGTGAGTATGCATATGTACATACAAACATATAAATCTGTACGTATATATGTATATATATACATAACTTGGTAGTGCCACACAATAGCGTTCGTTTTCGTTTCAGTCGTAAGAGATAATAATATCCTGAAGAGAACCCAGTTGATGACGTGAGTACCTGCGTTTATAAAATCGTATAAAGGAAGCACGTGAAGTGCAGGCGAAAAAAAAGGTGTGAGCAAGGAAAAATTAGATCAAATGGGGTGTTTTTGTACATACATACATATGAGACATAGAAAGTCACAAAACTTTATAAAAACTAAAGTTCTTATGTTGGGAATTTTTTCAAAATCGTGGGTTTTAATAAACACTGAAACAAATTTATTGATGTAGCTTATGTTTCAAAATGCTATTAGGCCTTTCTACCCACCTTTGTACAGGGCTGAATTTAAAGAGAAAATGGGTTAAGGCCTTTCTATATTAAGATAAGGTGTGATCTTACACATCTGCATAAGTATGTACATATGTACATATATATCTGTACATTAAACTGCATCACCAAAATAAGTTGCGGGTTTTCCTCCATGGTTACAAAATTTATTATATTTGAAGACGTCCACCAAAATATTTAGGAAAAATTGTAAGATTTGCCTGAGCTGGACCGAATTGAAAATACCTCCGAAAGTGGAGTTATTTATGAATACAAATGCATAAATTTCTTAAAGAATTTTTGGAAAAAAAAAAATCCTCTCAGATGACAACGCAGTTTAAGCTTAAAAAATCTGCATACAAATATTTAAAAAAATTTGTACAACGGAATCGTAATAATGAGATTTTGATGCTCACTTGATGGAGCCAGCAAGCTGGTGTCGTATATTTCCCCTTTTATACAAAAAGGTCTTTGGTTCGATAAAATATTAACTTTTTTCCAGAGTTAATTGTTTTTCTATACCAACCATTACTTATTGAAAATTTTTGCGTGTATACTTATGTATGTATATGTAAGTAAAAAATTTTAGCTAACATTTTTAGCCCCAACGACTTTTCTTAGCTCTTCTTTAGCCCCTTTTTTAAAGGAATTTGGCTACCACTAAGAATGATTCGCGGCAACACTGCCAATGAGGTATCAGTGGAAAGGTATCTTCTCACTCTCAAACTCATTCACGTTCTAACTTTTTTCATACGTCAACACATCTTAAAGCAACTTCGGCCCAGCTCACGTAAATCCTAATATTTTTCCGAAATATTTTGGTGCAAGTCTTAAAATAAAATAAAATGGAAACACGGTACCGATTTTTTTTTTGTATATAAAATAAATCACAAGCTTGAAAATTTACAAGGTTGCACCACCTAATATCAATAAGTTTATTTTTTTATTTGATAAATGGCTTAAAGAAAATGATATTTTATCTTTCCAAATGGCAATACATCCATACATATGTATGTATATCCGTTTTTGATATCACTTTAGACAAACCCTCTTAAAGACGAAAACAATAAATAAGAGGCTTTATACCTTTTCGCACGCAACATAAACCAACCTATTTAAGTTTTCTATTCTTTCAAAATATGTAACGGGTGATTTTTTTGAGGTTAGGATTTTCATGCATTAGTATTTCAAAGAGAAAGATGCTCAGTATGCTTTGACATTTCATCATGAATAGACTTACTAACGAGCAACGCTTGCAAATCATTGAATTTTATTACCAAAATCAGTGTTCGGTTCGAAATGTGTTTCGCAAACCCAATTGCTGCGAACGGCGACGAATCGACATTTCACGGTCTTCAGCAACACTCTCAGAAACAGACGCAATATTCTCTTCTGTACGCACTGTACGCATTCGTGTGGTTGGTTTAATGTCCAATAAAGTAAACTGAGTGCGAAACTTGGTCACAATCGCATTAATTGTTTGCTCACTTGGTCGATTATGTAGACCATAAATCGGACGTAAAGCGAACCGAACACTGATTTTGGTAATAAAATTCAATGATTTGCAAGCGTTGCTCGTTAGTAAGTCTATTCATGATGAAATGTCAAAGCATACTGAGCATCTTTCTCTTTGACACCATGTCTGAAATCCCACGTGATCTGTCAAATACTAATGCATGAAAATCCTAACCTCAAAAAAATCACCCGTTATGTATGTATCTGCGATTTTCTGCTCGGACAGCAAACCTTTCCTTTAAGGGAGGAAATCGATGTAAAATGAAGTCACACCTTTACAACCTAACTATTATGTGCTATACAAAAGCAGATAAATGTTTAGGCAAATATGTATTTAAATGTTCAATGCTCTTAATTAATTCATACCACACTTCAAAAACCGATAGATGGCTTTTGTTTGTATGGACATACATATGTATGTATGTATGTAAGTATATCTTGCAAAAATGAGTTAAATCCTATAAAACAAATGAGGAAAGTGCCTTTTTGAAATGGTATAATGTTTCATCAAAAAGGTACGCATAGCTAAATAGACTCCACGAGATTTTCAATTTTAACTACTTCTAATAGATTAACAGCAAGTTGTTTTTGTAAATGCATTATACAAATTTGGCTAAATTTTATTTGTATGTATATCTATGTACATAAGTATTTCCATCACAGTTACAGAATTAAATTTTTTGAACATTTTCTTCTAACCTTCGATGAAAATTTCTAAAAAATTTCTGTAGATTATTGAATCAGAATCTATAGTCCAAGATGTTACATAGGATAAAAATTACGGAAGTCTAGTTCTAAGCCTAATACATGCAATATACTTTATACATACATACATACATACACACAAATGAATGAATGAACGTGTTGTTGTTGATGGAAGAGCCGACTCGTTCGGCCTCTACAACAACAACAATGAACGTCATCTTTTGGCTTGTTTGTGTTTGGCGTTCTTCTTCTTCTTCAAAACTCAAACAATAAACATCCAATTTAAGTATTGATACTGTTTTCCAACTATTTAGTGTTCAACATACGCAAGCTGCACCTCCGATACTAAATCACAACTCATCATACGATGACTATCCAGATGACTATGATTATTATGTTGAGAGCGAAACAGTTCGAAGTGCAGAGAAAATTACATTAGACATCATTAACCCAGATTACCATTCGATGTCAACGTCTACTGTGGCTAACACAATACCAACAACAAGTAAATCAAAAACATTCTTTAGTATATCATCATACAGTTATCCACGCAGTAATCATGTGCTGGAGCCAAGCTGTCCCAAAGCCTGCCTTTGTTTAGAAGAATACAAACATATATTGTGCAATGGCGCTGGACTGACACAAGTCCCAAAGGATTTGCCGGTCACATCTCTTCTCCTCGATTTAAGTGAGAACTATATCGCGGAACTGCATGCGGAGGATTTTTCAAATATTACTAAAATTCGTGAAATCAATTTGAGCGGTAATAAATTGAAAACGATCAATAAAGAGGTATACTTTATGCAGTACTGAGTCTGTCTACAGTAAAAATGGAAAATATTTTAGGTCTTTGTAGGATTGAAATATTTACAACGACTTCGGCTAACTGACAATCAACTGACACACATTGAGCCCGACGCGTTTTTAGGCACCGATCTAAGTGAACTGGATATAAGTAACAACACTATAGTATTGAGAAGTGATGGTCCCTTTCTTACTCAGACGACTCTACGAAAGTTTGCATGTCGTAATTGCAGTTGGAGCCAAATATATGATGACACGTTCAAGGGTTTAGACGGCTTACAATCTCTGAAACTGGATCTCAATGATTTCGGAAAGGTGCGTATTGTGTGCGTGTTTATAGTACTGATAAGTATGCGCGCATATATGTACAAGAAGAACTACACATTTACTCTCTTTGCCCCTTTATTTTTAAAAATAAAACCCAGTATAGTTTTTGAGTTTAACGGTTCAATACACAGGTAAACTGATGTACCTTGAATACGAGAATATGATTTTATGTACACATATAACTTAATAACAACACTATTATGATAAAAGCTTTCGTTTCTCCAAAGCTCACCGCATATGTTTATTGACGTTTTTTCATTCCATCGTCATTCTGACAGAAAATCAATGTAAAAGCTTTTACGTCGCTGCAGAACCTTATTAAATTGCGACTGCCTGAATTGGAATCGGCAGAAGTCACCGAACTGTGTAATTTACTAAAAACTATTGACAACATAAGCTTTAGAAACTTTGAAATTAGCTGCTTTGAACTAGTACTGGGGACATCATATAATGATAGTATTACTCTGGTGACAGATCCACCCTACCTGTCGACGGAGATAGCCATAGTACCAACAAAAGTGCCAGAAGATACAACTACTGAAGCAACGCCGAAAAAGGGAGAAGCAATAAACAAAGCAAGTGGCGTACAGAACAAAACGGCAAAGGCGGCTACGTCCAAACCAACAAATACGGCATCAATCGTGAAACAGAAGGAGATTCAAGAAGGAGGTATGTACATATGTGCTGTGCAAAGCAGGTAGCGCTTTTTTTTAATAATTTATTATTATTAGATACTAGGATGCCTGAAGTAAACAACACTTTGGGCGTGACGACTACTGCGACATTTTCGGTACTTGAAGAAAGTGCTAATAACTCTCTAACGACGCCCAAAATACTAACTGCCAGCATTTTGGGCGGCCCTGGAGATGCAGCAAATAAAGTAGTTGAGAATATTACTGTCAAATCGATTGTTGAGACTGAGAACAACCATCAAGTACATATTTCTCAGGAAATGGTCAACCTCTTGCTTATATGTAAGTAGCATAATCACTGATGTCTAGATGATTTCAATCGTTTTTAATTGCTTTCTTAAAGGTATTATTATAATAGCGATTGTTGGAATCATTATTGGCATAATTTGTCGCAAAGATGTGGGCGGCATTAAGACAAAATGTTGTCGTACACGAAAACCTGAACCAAAGGATCAAGTGCATCCTGCCGAAGAAATACCTTTAAATAAACTAGCATAACTAGATGTAATTTCATATTGAAATAGGAAGAATGTTGTTGCCAGGTGTGTGAAAATATACTTTGTCAGATGATTTTAGCTAAGTACTGGAAGCCTGCTTAATATGTATATAGTTTATTTAATATTTTCAGTATAAGCAAAATCTAGAAATATTTATACACATACATACACATACATTCATAAATTAGTATAATTTGAAATTATGTACAAATTGGGTGGGGAAATATCCTGACAGTAGCACAGCGTACTTCAGTGTTACGAAAAAGAAAAGAAAAGAAAAAGAAATTTCGATTCAACATTTTCTACAAATCATTATGCCGGCTATGCACAATATACTTAGTATACATGTGTGTAACATATTTTCTGTTCGATACCTAGTAGCAATAGTTCGTAGTAGTTTTTTTTGTATTTTTTTACAAAAAATAACTGCATTTACAGGAAATAACCGCCAAAGTATAATATCAAAATTTAGAAAAAAAACGCTTTTTATATTTGAAATTGTTCTGATATGATTGAAAAATGCAATACGATTTTATTAACCCTTTCAAAAACTATGGTTAGAGAAGTGGGGTTTTCACGTGTATATCGCACACCCATTTCATAGGTGGTACAACTCAAAATGTCCGGTTTACCAGAATACGTGAAAAAAATATTTCATAGCACATGGGCAATTGAGTCTTTACCTTAGAATTGTTCAACTAATTACTCCAACTTTTGTTGTAAAAATTTTTAGCGCAAAGTTCCAAAACTACAAATTAGAATTGAGCCACCTTTGAAGAGCGTGTGCGATATGCAGAGCTGGCTCGTTAATATTCGTTTAGGAACTAAATTACTCTTAAATGCAAATTACAAGGAATTGTAATCACTAATCAATTTATTCAATTCAATTGATTCCTTTTTCCATTCCTTAGAAGTAATTTCAAAAGTATTTTTTGTTTGTTTTTAAATTTCATTACAAGGAATTGGATATTGTAATCGGAAGTATGTAATTATGTGCTAGTAATGTGATTTTTTTCAATTCCTTTGAAAGGATTTGATAAAGTAATATTTTTTTTTTTCAATTCAGTTGATCGGAATTAAAAAACACAATATTTTTGCTTCCAGTTCCATTCTTCAAAGTAATTTAAAAAATCATCGAAAATATTAATTAAATTATTTATTGCTGTTGAATTGCAACTTCCTTGAATAAACAACTTTTACCTAAATGGTATCACTAATTGGACTTTAGGATAGCCGGAGAACTTAACTTGTAGCTGTTCAGTTTATGGGTAACTGTTAAATTTTCTGGAGCCTACCGCGAACGCGCGAAAAAAAAATACATTAGAAATTACTTATAAGGAATTTAAAAATTAATGTTGTTGTTGTTGTTGTTGTAGCAGCATACAAATTCCCCAAAGACTTTTTGGGGAGTGTTGCTGGAGTGACAGTCCTTGGCCAGATATAAATCTGGGTCGTTCCGGTTACGTAGACCCGACTGTCGTGGGAACGTTTAAAAAAAAAAAAAAAAAAAAAAAAAAATTAATCAATTCCTTTGCTGTGTACTAAAGAAATTGATTCCTAATTACAATTACTGAGGTATATTGATGTTATTGTAATGTAATTGCATTTACGCAGCTCTGGCGATATGCATGCAGCCATGCTAATTTCAAATATTAAAATTAATAACTAGTACCGTAAGATTTAAAACCTTCCTAGTAAAATATAGTAGCGTGCATATAAATAAATTGGTCCGTAAGTTAACTTAAGCCGTTGTTCCTATTCGGGACAAATACATACATACATACATATGTAGGTATGTATGTATGTGTATACTCACACATTTACATATACATACTATTTGAATTTGTTCAAATGCTCATTTACTAAAAGACTGTTACAACTCAAAAAACGAAATTTTCCGGCAAATTATGCAGAATTAAGGTGACCTCAATCAAACAGATGCGGTATACCGGTGCGCTACGATGCTTTCAAAAATTGTATCACACAGCAAGCACAATTGATCGCACGATATGAGGAGTGACTTGTTCATTGTAGAGTTCGGAAATTGAATTTATACTTCAACTCGTCAATTGTTACCCCATATTGGCCATATGAACAAAAAGTAGACAATTGTTTATCTTAAAATTTCAGACCTTTTATCTGGCTTTCTATCGTCATCGCATCAAATACAATATCGTGTCGCATCTGTTTGCGGCCACCTTTATTTGTTATATATCATTCTTCAAATTTTGTGCAAACATTTTTTTACATTTTGGGAGTAAATTGAAAACTTAAAAACGCGCCTCCTAAAAATCTCGTTTTTTAAGTTTTGACGTAGGTGTATGTGTACAAATATATTTACATAAGAACAAAATATTTATATTAAATAAATGGCCGTAAATCATCGAGTTTGTGTTTTTTAGTTAGTGAATCTGTGTGTCAAATCCCTGCAGGGCCAGCTACTAGCTGTGAACTAAAATTCTACCAGTTTGCGTATCAGCCCAACTAGTTCACGTTCTATCATTTTTCAATGTCAGCGACTGGTATTTTTAACATTGCGATGTCCTTCAAGTTGTCAATTGTCAGGCTATGCATCAGCATCTACTAGGAGAAATACTAGTAGTATCATACAAGTTGATGAGGTAGTCTGCCAATTCATCCTCCATGAAAAGCATAAGTATGCCTATTTGCTCGGGGCGCTCCAACAGTCGCAATGACCGACAGAGCAAAGCAATCGCGTGGTATGCCTGAGGTCTCAGGTTCAAATACTGGCGCAAGGAAAATTCTTTAATTTTATTTAATTTTTTTTTTTATTTTTTTTTTTCTGTAATTCATTTTTTTATTTAAGCTTTTTTATTTATTTTTTCTCTGTAACTAAATTTTTTATTAAGGGGTTTTGTTGCAATTTCTAAATTAAATTGAAAAAAATTTAATATCTTTTTTTTCATGGCACAAGCTTTCTTGCCATATGTATGTTTTTTCTGCATTGCAATTATGTTTTCAAATTTGATATTTATATTTAATTTTTTTTTTTAATTTAAAATTACTTCCGAATCATTATATTTAAATTGAAATAATTATTTTTACTTATATTGATTTAACTTTAGAAAATCTTAACCACCTCCAAGCGGCTTCGGACCTGCATTCTCAAAACCAAAGCCAGTAGTCTTCACATGACGCCACAGACGACATTTGTAAGAAAAGCAATTAATTGCGCTTTATTTTTAATCGACTTTCAAAAAAGGAGGAGGTTATCAGTACGTCGGAATATTTTTTTTTTTATTTTTTATTTTTTTTTATGTATGTTACCGCATAACTTTGGACCACGTCAACCGATTTCGATAAAGGTAGTGTCTCAAAAGTGGTCCCATACTAATCTGGTTAAGATCCGATTTTTTTTTTATATGAGAGTTGAAGTCGGTTTTTTTCTTGCTAAAAATTACTTGTTGGTTTTGGCAATTCAAAGACAGATGTCGCTGAACGCTTAAATTCTTCGAAATGGTCGGACTGGTAGGCACATACTAGTTAATGTACTTGTATTTTTTCTAACTGGTTTGACTTTTCACTGTAGGGATATTTTTATACCCGATCGTACTTGTACACAAGGCTGTTAGAGCTTTGTTCGCATAACGGTATATATACCTGCATAGTATATGGGCATGCTACAATAATTTAAAGGTAGTTTCACTTCTTGTTGTCCCCCAATCGTTGTCGTCAAGCTCAACTAACGGGAGACCCAGGAAGTGGGCCACTCCAGCTGGGCTGGTCGAAAGGCTGTGGGGTTTAGTATAGAAATCAGTTGCTTACACCATTTTCATTATTACGCAGGTAAGTAAAATTCAGTTAATTTCTTTTTGTGGCTTTCTGTAGTTTGGATCTGTGTAATGTTGTCGTATAGTCAAATTTTTTTCTTAAGTTTTATTTTTTATTCAACAATTTTTATTGAGCTTGAGGCCGTTTTTAAGAAAAAAGCAACAATAATTTTGAAAAAATTGTAGAAGGGATAGCTATTTCAGAAATCACCACATTTCCTCATCAGAATTCTTTCAGTAGGATTCGAACCGACGATCCCACTGACTCAGCCAGTTGCCTATGCACTGTGCTAAGTTCGCATTGTGAATTCTTGTTGCTTTATTCCACTATTTCATTTGTTAAGCCAACTACAATCAAGCGCAGCTATTCCAGTGCTATTTAAACTTGATCATGTGGTTTTTGGTTTTGTTGGTTTTTGTTAATAATTCTAATTTTAGAATGTTTAACTTTTAGGTGTGCTCATTCTTAAGATATTTGTTTTATATATTTTATGGCCTTATAACAATTATATTCAAAAATTTTTATTGAGCTTATGATATTTTTTTATGTTTACTTGATGGCCCTTTATTAAGGCCTATCCACACACATCAGTCCCGGAACAGCACCGTATTAGTGGCAATCAGTATCGATCAGTGATACCAATTCACACATATCCGTAGTAGGCCGTCTGTTGTTTTCAGTAAAGTGGATTTCAATGAAGAAAAATGGCTTATTTTACTAATGATGATTTGCTAATTATGGCCATAGCTCTAGACGAGGAAGAAAATCGAATAAAAATGCGAAACCGAGTTCACAAGACGAGAAATTGGATTATTCCAAATATGATTTTTAAAACCGATATTTATATATTTTTTGTAAGAAAATTATATAATTCTGGATAATTCCAACCAACCAACTCGATTGATCTTTCCTCTATATCAATCAAAACTTCCAAAAAATAACGTTGACGAGCTAACGAAATGCATAAAAACATCAACAACTAAAAACTCTATCCGTACTGTCATCAAGTACAGCTGCGAGCACTAAATTAGCAATGTGCGCTTACGGTTACAATTTTTTGTAATTACTAGAAAACCAAATAATAGTTACATTAATTTTTTGGAAAAACTAAAGGACAATTTCATAATATAACTAAATTTAGGGCCAAAAGAGTTTTATTTACATAAACACTAAAAAAAACTAATTCACGCAGAGCCACATGTGCTTCTATGGAAATTACTGCGAGCAGAAAAATAGTAGTATATAATAAAAAGTCTTAAAAATTTTTTAAATTTCTAATACTAAAATTTAGCACAGTTATTTATTATTTGATAGCATGACCGTTGTTTTAATCACTGCTGCACAACGATTTACGAGTCTACGAGGCGTTGACATCTTTGCTGTGGTATTGACTGCAATGCGAGGAGAACCACAGCCCATAGTTCGTGGTTAGTTTTTGGTTTTGCATTCCATACGCGCTTTCTTAAGGTCGGTCCAAAGGTTTGCTATTGGATTGAGGTAGGAGATTGAGCTGCTGTAGTACCCATTTGAGTGGCATTTCCTCTTCGGCGAAGCATAACATTCTCCATTATTTTTACGTACTCTTTTTTTGTCTATAAGGTCTCCATGCTTCAAAGTATTCGCAGTGTACCTTGGCTGATATTCCATATTTGGCTGTATCTTACGAACTGCCGAGAGCCTTTACCACCGTATAAAACAATTTTTGACTCATTCGTTCAAAAAATTTTCCTCCACTTCCGAATAGTCCAATCCATGTGTTTTTTGGCAAAATCTAGTCTGCGTACTATATGACTTTTTTCAAAAGCGGGACCTTATGTGGACTTCTAGCATAAAGCTTTTGTTCTCGGTGCCGTCTCCTTACTGTATGAACACTACATGGTAACTTTAAGTTATCCAAAATTTCTACAGCTGACATAGTAGGACGGGTCGTCGAATATTTAATAATTTGTCGTATGGCAGTCGTTGATAATTTCTGCTTACCACCCAGTTTCCAGGTTTATTTTGATACGTTAACGCATTTCGAATAGTGGTGGCTAAACACCCAATGTTTTTTCCCACTTCTTTGTATGTTTTCCGATTTTTAATAAGGGTTTTAATAATTTCACGTTTTTCGTGAAAGCAATTAAGACCTCGTCCCATTAAAAATTACAAAAATGCGTTTTTGTCTATTCCGGCTAAATAGACTATAAACTCAGTCATTGAACTTTTTATTCTAAAAACTCTAATATTTTCCCATGCAAGTTAACTTTTGTGACTTTATTTGTTCTGCGCTACTATTTCACTGCTCGCCTAAAATGCCGTTCACACCAAACCTATTTCTTAAAAAATTAAACCGTAGCGGTTGAACGGTTTGAAATTTGCATAAAGTTAAATCATACACTAGAGATGAGAATTAAAAAAAATAATCACTGCATCTTTTAGGCGCATCAATATTACATAGTTACATACATATGTACATCCCAAGAAAAGAGAGGAAAAAACGGAACTGACGTATCTGAACAACTCTAATTGAGACTGGGGCAACGATATCACTGGATCACAAATTTTAATTTTGGTTTTGTTCTCCACACGGCACTATCCAATTAGTATGTAAAATCGCTCGCTGATTCGGAAAATCGGATTTACTTTTTTTGTATGGATACGTTTTCGAAATACATATTTGCAGTTTACCGTTATTCAGCTTAAAAAAGAGTGGTTCCACTTAATCGTAAATAATCGAAAGTCGGAATTTTAATGCTCTCACCCCCTAGGATTGTTCTATATCGAAAAAAGTATACCCCTACTTTTATTTTGAAATTAAAAATTTTTTAGAGGTCGCTCAAAGCGCTCAAAGTTGTCCATGTATTTTGTATGGGGAAAAACAACATTTCGTGGAAATGGTATGGAATTCTTGAAAATCGATATTTTTCGGAATCACCGAGCGATTCTACATAGGAATTGGATAGTGGTATCCATAGAACATTTGTATTTTTCACTGACACTGATACGGAACTGATGCGGCAGTGATGTGTCTGGATAGACCTTTACAGAACTAACGAGTTGCTATAAGTAAAAACTCTTTAGAGTAAAAAGGCCGCTTTACATACAACTTTGCAAGAAATCAATATGATCTCCTGTTCGCTAGACGTAGTTCTCTCTCTGCCGAAGTACGTATACATGCATAGTTTATGTTTTTGTCATGGAATAGTTTTCGAAATCGGTTTAAATAATATTTATGTTATATTTGTAATATTTTCTAATGTGTGTAGTCTGCAAGATGATTTGGTTCATAGACTTTAGAAATAAACAAAAAAGAAGTGACGAGGCAACCGGGAGGGACTTGGCTATTCTCGCTGGTACAACCGTTTGAATGAATGAATAGCCGATCTAAACGGCCCTTAATAGTTCCACTAGACCATAAATAATTTTCACAAAGATTAATACTTAAAATTGTTACAAAACTTACCTCCATAACCAAGTTGACACAGTCTTGCGATTCTTTGCAGTCCAACAAGGCAACGACATTCTCATGATGTAGCTCTGTCAGTTCTTTAAGAATTTTTATTTCCTTTCCAAGCAAATTCTGCGTTTTTATCAAACCCTTTTTTGTGATGCATTTTATAGCAACGGGGAAATGTTTCTGCAAAATCAAACCAAAAAATTAGCAAAATGGGTAAATTGTGCAATTTTAAACCCTTAAACAAAAACAATTGTAAATGAAACGTCTAAGTTTCTATGGAAAGCCTTTTGCACAAGGAGGACAACTTTTCGAGGCAATTTTGTTGCGCAAATTTGCACAGTGTGCTGGGCAAACCCTCAAGCAGCTATTAATTTCAACTTTTTAATTTTAAAATTTTTCAAATAATTAACTTCCAAAAATTACACAAAATATAAAATTGTCCTCATGAAACCCACTACACAAAGTTGCCCAAATTGCTCAAATATGAAACTTGCGCGTATAGATCAGTACTTTTAATATATGTATGTATATTATTGTATATCGATGGCTGAGTGGAAGATCGACCTATCTCGGCAGCCAGTTCGAAAACGCCCTATCGCAGAAAATTTTTGAACAACGATCTATCTCAGAAAACTTTTCAAGAACGCCCTACTTCAGAATTCGATTGAAAAACGCCCTATCTCGGAATTTAGTCGAAGAACGCGTTTTTCAATCAAATTCTGAAGTAGGGCGTTCTTGAAAAGTTCTTTGAAATAGGGCGTTTTTGAACTGGCTGCCGAGATAGGTCGATCTTCCACTCAGCCATGCTATGAGACAGAAGTGGCGTAACCCAAAAAAAAATTTGTTTGCACTTACCTTGTTAAAATAGTCTCAAATGTGATACATCTATCTATCTTCTATCTGTACCAGGGTAGCCACTTATTTTTGGGAATTCACCGATTACGACAATGAAATTCACCGATTTTGCCCGAAATTTCGTAAAATTCCCCACCTATAGATATCTCCTTATTTACAAAAAAAAAATACACAAAAATTGAATGTATTTTGATATGTTGCTGGTGTTTCTGATTATTTTATTTTTAAATGTAATTTATCTATGTATTCATAGACCAAAAAAAAATCGAATAAAAATTTGGTCGCATCAATTATTTTTATTTCGTTATTTAATTTGAGTTATTTTTTTAATAAAAATATAGTTCATTCTTTAACAAATACCATATAAATCCAAGTTTGAAACTTCGTGTAATATTTGAAAAAAATTCCAACAACCTTTCGTAAAAATGTCGAGCTTTTTAAGTCGATTTTCTAGAAAGACTTTGAGTATGTCATTTTGTAGTACACTCAATTCTATTATAATAAAGATCAAGTTTCAGGTGTCTAAAAATTTTCGTTTAAGAATTTTTTGTCGATGCTTTTGCGGTTTTCATCCATATGCAAATAATTTATGTATATTCGTTATTTGAAAGCAAATGCGACAAACGAAATTTTAAAAAATCAACGGTAATTTTTGGTCATTTGAAATTTTGTTATAATAGAATGGAACGAGCTGAGAATCCCCACAAAAAACGGTCCATTCCCCACGCAAACTGAAAATCCCCGGAATCGGGGAATTCCCCACGAGTTGGCTTCCCTGATCTGTACTATAATAAAACTGTGGATTGTGTGTATGTCTGTTTGAACTCACTAATCTCCGGAACTATTGAATGGATTTTCATGGGGCTTTAACTGGTATATAGAGACACCTCGGACGTAACCTATAGTATAAAATAATGGGATCTGACAAGGAGGCGTGGCACCTCCCATAGGCGTGAAATTTTTAATCAGCTAAAACTTCGAAACCGTAAGTCACATGAATTTGAAATTTGGTATGAAGACATATCCATGGTAGGCGCTTACAGTAATGAATGAGTTTGTACAAGGAGGTGTGGCGTAAAACTTTTAATCAGCAATAACTTCGGAACCGTAGGTGACTCGACTTTTAAATTTGGTGCGAATACAGATCTATGCTAGATGTTTAAAGTAAAGTATCCATATATATAAATGAGTTTGTACAAGGGGCGAGTCACATCCCATAGTCGAGAAATTTTCAATCAGCAATAACTTCGGAACCGTAAGACATATGACTTTGAAATTTTGTGTGTTGACATACACATAAACTATATGTAAAATACATATACTGTTGTAAAAGGGGCGTGGCGCATCCTATAGAAATCATACGTCACAAGAATTTTAAATTCTGCTCTGCATCGCAAAATATACTTTTGCAAAAAATTGTTATTCTTGTTGTTGTTGTTGTAGCGGCTACAACAACCCCGCCCAGATCGGTTGATATCTCAGTCGTTGTCGTCAAGTTCCACTAACGGCAGCCCCAGGAAGCGTGGAGCCTCTATCGGGTCGGTCCACAAGGACAAAGCCGTTAGGGTTCTCGGGTTTTCCGGACATGCGAAGAGATGTTTCGAGTCATGTGGGGTCTCTCAGCATGCCGGACACTCATTTGGCACATCCTCATTCAATCTACTTAGGTAAGAGTTTAACCTGCTGCAGTAGTATTGTCGTTCGTGTCTCCCGTGGCAGACGAAGCTCCGGCTCGTCTATGTCCGGTGGTGGTGTGATTAGAACGGCATTCACAAGTCTAGAGTCTACATAACTCAAGACTGACTCCCTGTGAATGCCGTTCAGGGCCGGTCGGTAAGCTGACGGGTCCAGAGGCTGCTTGACGAACCTCTGGACTTCCGTCAGTTCATATAGATGGCTCCTGACGTGCCTAGGCGAGGGCTCGTCTGCAAGCAGTTGTCTGTTCGGGTGGCCACTTCTGTGGCTCCCGATCAGAAACTGCTTGCAGAGCATTATATTGTGCTCCTTTATGGGGAGCATTTGGGCCTCGTTGTGGAGGTGATGCTCTGGCGACATCAGGAGGCATCCTGTCGCTGTCCCGAGTGCGGTGTTCTGTAGTCTGTAGCTTCGTCCACTGCGTCCTACTAGTCCCCGGCGACCACACTGGTGCTGCGTAGTTTAAAAACGGCCGGCCTATTGCCTTGTATGTTGTCAGCAACGTTTCTTTGTCTTTGCCACAAGTACTGCCGGCTAGCGACTTGAGGACCTTGTTGCCGCTCTGTACTTTATTGGCAATAGCGTTTGCGTGCGCAGAGAAGGAGAGGAGGCTGTCGAATGTTACTTCGACTATTTTGGGATTATTCAACGTCGAAATTGGTGTGTCATCGACGTGAATTCCCAGCGGTAGCCTGACCTCCTTCGTCCAGATTGTGAACAGGGTCGCAGAGGATTTCGTAGGGGAAAGGGCTAGACACTTTGCAGTGAAGAAGCGAGTAAGTTCGGAGAGATACCCGTTTACTTTCGAACACAGGTCATCAATTCCATTCCCAGTCGCCATGATCGAGCAATCGTCGGCGTAAGAGACAATCTATTTATTTATTTATTTATTTATTTATTTATTTTTTGCAGTCTGTCNAAATATTAAATACAAAATACAAAATGCTCTACAGAAATTTTTAAATAACATTATTTCTTTATCACTGCAATTATTTTATGTCAATATAAACGCATGCAATTTCCTGGAAGTTATGTAGACGGTTGGAAAGGCCGAGTTTCCAATCTGCGCTATTCTTTTTGGGTTACTCCATTTATTGATATCTCCTGGGTGGTCAGAAAGGCCGAGTTTCCGATCCACCCAGTCGCGCTTTCGTGACTGTTGACGGTTGGAAAGGCCTAGTTTCCAATCCGCTCGTTTATTGTTTATTATCTAAGGGTCTAGGTAGTCGGAAAGGCCAAGTTTCCGATCCGCCTAGTCTCGATATCTTGGTGGTTGGAAAGGCCTAGTTTCCAATCCACGCTATTGTTGATACATCACTACTTGTAGGCTGCGTTCTAAAATAGTCAAATAGCAGCCCCTTGAAAAGAGTGATAGTATCACAATTTTTTATAGCCTCTGGTAATTCATTGAAGCACTTTAAGCCTTTATAGAAAATATTTTTTTTGTCCACTTCTGTTCTATACTTCGGGAGTCTGAAGCTGTTATTCTCTCTCAACAAATATGTATGCGTCTCATTTATATATCGGAGATTATCGCTAAGATAATCCGGCAGGTTGCCCTTCTTAATATTGTACACAAATTTCATAGCGTGGTAAAAAACTTGTTGCTTCACGCTTAACCAATTCAAGGTTTCAAGCATACATCTTGTTGGTGTGTCATACGGTTTGTTGAGGATGAATCTCATCGCTCGGTTT